TTGCGATTTTTGCAATTTTCAGGAATTTTTGGCGATTTTTGCAATTTTCAGTAATTTTTGCAATTTTTGCAATTTTCAGGTATTTTTGCAATTTTTGCAATTTTTGCAATTTTTGCAATTTTCAGGCATTTTTGCGATTTTTGCAATTTTCAGGAATTTTTGCGATTTTTGCAATTTTCAGGAATTTTTGCAATTTTCAGTAATTTTTGCAATTTTTGCAATTTTCAGGTATTTTTGCAATTTTTGCAATTTTTGCAATTTTCAGGCATTTTTGCGATTTTTGCAATTTTCAGGAATATTTACGATTTTTGCAATTTTCAGGAATTTTTGCAATTTTCAGGAATTTTTGCAATTTTTGCTATTTCTGCCATTTCCAGGAAATTTTGCAATTTTTGCAATTTTCAGGAATTTTTGCAATTTTTGCAAATTTCAGGAATTTTTGCAATTTTCAGGAATTTTTGCAATTTTTGCAATTTTCAGGAATTTTTGCAATTTTTGCATTTTTCAGGAATTTTTGCAATTTTTGCAATTTTCAGGTATTTTTGCAATTTTTGCAATTTTCAGGCATATTTGCGATTTTTGCAATTTTCAGGAATTTTCGCAATTTTCAAGAATTTTTGCTTTTTTCAGTAATTTTTGCAATTTTTGCAATTTTCTGGCATTTATGCGAATTTTGCAATTTTCAGAAATTTTTGAAATTTTTGCAATTTTCGGGTATTTTTGCAATTTTTTTCAATTTTCAGGTATTTTGCAAGTTTTGCAATTTTCAGGCATTTTTGCGATTTTTGCAATTTTCAGGAATTTTTGCGATTTTTGCAATTTTCAGGAATTTTTGCTATTTCTGCAATTTTCAGGAATTTTTGCAATTTTTGCAATTTTCAGGTATTTTTGCAATTTTTGCAATTTTCAGGCATATTTGCGATTTTTGCAATTTTCAGGAATTTTTGCAATTTTCAAGAATTTTTGCTTTTTTCAGGAATTTTTGCAATTTTTGCAATTTTCAGGCATTTTTGCGAATTTTGCAATTTTCAGAAATTTTTGAAATTTTTGCAATTTTCGGGTATTTTTGCAATTTATTTCAATTTTCAGGTATTTTGCAATTTTTGCAATTTTCAGGCATTTTTGCGATTTTTGCAATTTTCAGGAATTTTTGCGATTTTTGCAATTTTCAGGAATTTTTGCAATTTTTGCTATTTCTGCCATTTTCAGGAAATTTTGCAATTTTTGCAATTTTCAGGAATTTTTGCAATTTTTGCAAATTTCAGCAATTTTTGCAATTTCTGCAATTTCCAGAAATTTTTGCAATTTTTGCAATTTTCAGGAATTTTTGCAATTTTTGCAATTTTCAGGAATTTTTGCAATTTTTGCAATTTTCAGGAATTTTTGCAATTTTCAGAAATTTTTGCAATTTTTGCATTTTTCAGGAATTTTTGCAATTTTCAGGTATTTTTGCAATTTTCAGGCATTTTTGCGATTTTTGCAATTTTCAGGAATTTTTGCAATTTTTGCAATTTTCAGGCATTTTTGCGATTTTTGCAATTTTCAGGAATTTTTGTGATTTTTGCAATTTTTAGGAATTTTTGCAATTTTTGCAGTTTTCAGGAATTTTTGCAATTTTTGCAATTTTCAGGAATTTTTGCAATTTTTGCAATTTTCAGGAATTTTTGCAATTTTCAGGAATTTTTGCAATTTTTGCATTTTTCAGGAATTTTTGCAATTTTCAGGCATTTTTGCAATTTTCAGGCATTTTTGCGATTTTTGCAATTTTCAGGAATTTTTGCAATTTTTGC